AGGACAGTTTTCAACAATCTCGGCCCCTTGGCCAACCCTGTTGAAGATGTCCTTGAAGCCCGTGTCATTGGTGTCGGCCGAAGGGATCTTGGCCCGGCATTCGCTGAGGCGCTGTGCATGGCTGGCTTCAAGAAGGCTCTCATCATCTGCGGCGAGGAAGAGCTCGATGAAGTCAGCTGCGCTGGTAACACTCTATGCTGGAGGGTCAACGAGACCAGTGCTGGAAGGCTCGAGGTTGAGCACTTCACCGTGCACCCGAGTGACTTTGGTTTGAGCACACATCCCCTGGACACAGTGTCGTCTGGTAAAGAACCCTCCGAGAATGCAGAGATCTTGTCTCGAATTCTGCACAATGAGTTGCCTGACGATGACCCGATTCTTGAGTTTGTTCTTCTCAACACTGCGGCTTTGCTCGTGACATCAGGTATCTGTGAGTCCGATACCAGCAACATGGGTGAGGGGGATGACGGCAAGGTCATCACTGAGCGCGGCCCTGGTGGGCAGCGCTGGAAAGAGGGTATCCGAAGAGCTCGCTGGGCCCTCAAGAGCGGCGAGGCCTGGAGACAGTGGGAAAAGTTTGTCAAGGTCACAAATGAAATCGGTGCTTAAGAGATAGGAATACGTTATTACAACGGAAATTGTTATCATACACAAAAGTTTCATTCTCATTACACCTTTAACACATCAAAAGCCGTTCTCATCGTTTCGGCGCCGCTGCTCCCATGGTATAAATAATTCCAGTCCTAGTCTAAAGTCATGCAGAGATAGATATATTGGTATATGTCGTGGTTGTGGGCTTTGTTTCATGGTCCATACTTCATGCTTCAAGCCTGGCGTATTAAAATGCCCTCCCTATTTCTGGCGAAGGTGGGCTTGTTGTTGAAGTTGATGTCGTTGGTGAGAGTGGGGAGTAGGGGCTGGTTGAGCTGGATGAGAAAGATTGTGGTTGAGGTCGGGACGAGGAGGATCCAGCGTGAGTTTGTATTCTCGAGCGATCGACTCCCGGGTGCCTTCGCATCAGCGTTGATTTGTTTCGCTGAATATCAGCTTCGTATGCTTTCCAGTCTGTCCTGAGACTCGTATTTCTCTCCTCCTCTTCAGTGTCGTTTTCATCTTCCTGTCGCACAGTTGCTCTTGAAGAGGCGCGACTTTGTAATGACTTGCGAATTATTTTAGATCGCTGAAAATCTTCCTTGTCGTTCTTATCTAGCCCTGACTTTGCGCGCTTCTTCTTGCCAAGAGAGAAAGACGGAGATCGTTCTTCACGTTGGTATTGGCGTGGTTTGACCCACGAGTATAGATAACTTAGGATAGGCATGATGATAGGAGAGGAAAACAAAAGAAACACAACGAATGGAAGGGCGAGCTAGAGATCGATAACCTGCCAGATGCCTACTTTAATATCTTGACAGCTATCGGTAATTATAATAAGATTTCAAGCCTTCCGTGAATGGGCGGGGATATCCTGGGGAGCCACAGGCTTTGAATGGATGATCCTGGGAACGGGTAAACGGTTACGTGCCGTGCAAGGCCACGTAACTATGGGGACGGTTCTGATATGTTAGTTTATGGCAGAACCTCTCCTATCCGTAGGCCAAAGATTAGTTGATCTTTGCCTTGGCTGGACTGATCTGTCTGGTGTGGTCAAGGGCGCACAGCGGCTCGCACACTTGAGGCGCGGATCTATAAATGGGAGCGAGCCGGGGTCGAGAGATTGATATATGCCCGATTCTTTCTGGGCCCACGACAAGGTCTCTTCACGAGCAAAGATGCTTCATTCTGGTGTATGGCATTGATAAAATGGTTAGTCTAGGTCACGGCATGTTTCAGGTCTATCTTTGGAGTAGATCTCTTCCGAGATTCGGCTCTAGACTTCCATCGATGCATCACATCGCGGCAGAAAGATAGAAGCATGAGGTGGGAAGCAAGGATTGCAATCCTACGGCTATTTCAGAATACAAATTCAGCAGCCAAGGCCAAACCACAAGCCCAGCTATCCGGAATGGGAGCAACCCCCAAGCACCAATACGAGCCTGTGGTGGCTATGTTGAGCCTATAGTCAGACGAGATATTGACAAGGACAAGACTTTGAACGGGATACAGCTACCTAGCGATTGGAGTTTTGGGGGAGACACAACATAAGAAGTCTATTACATAATGATAGGTGGTACAACACAATCTTTACAAGCCCAACTGTGAACAATGATTTTGTGAGTTTCGAATTAAAAGCGAAGCTTTTCGGGACGGTTCGCTCTTCGCTGAAAGGTGAGTGTGGCTGAAGCATCACCAGTTTGCTACTAAATAAGTTATTGATCGGCGCTGCTGCGCCTGAATGAGACGTATCACACTGTCGCAATCTAGCAGGCTCAGTCCTTTTGGAAGAGATTGTGATCACTAAGGACTGATTCATGTTTTTCTGAACAGCTACCGTAATATCGTGGCTTTAAGCCTCTTGGGTGCCGACCAAATCCAAGCAGACTAATATTTGAATCCAGGTCCAGGAAATAGTTACTCATAGCATCATTAGCTGCTGAATATGGCATGATACATACCTTCTCAACCAACCATATAAAATGTCTTTATAGCTTCTCCCATTGGTAATTAGCTCACCATCGCATAGACGGCGAAACTACAATGATTGCCGATGATGCAAATGTATCTTGTCAGCCATCAATCAATAAACCATTTACTCCGTGCATCGCGATCAATTACCCCATGGGAATCATCGCTAATCGTCGGAGCCGAGAGGCTCTAGCAACGGCAAAATGTCACTCGGCACCGAACTCATAGTGATTGGCCCTCTTCTCCAAAAGCCGAGGTGTAATCCCCGCATGGAGCTCTTTGTTCACCAAGCTCAATTAGACTACAAGCTCAACGCACAATTCCGAACTCCCGTAGCTACCCATCCGGTTCCGATGACCGGTGACAATATCTCAAGCATCAATCTATATACATATCTACATACCGTTGCACAAGATTTCAAGTCTCACAACTGAGTTGCTCAACTTAGTCCATATTTAGCACACTGCCAAGCTGACAGTTTGCTGAGGATGAGCTTATTCCTTGCTGCTCGATCCTTGAGGTCTAAGCCCATCAATGGCTGTGCGCATGGAGTCCGCCGGTACTCAAGTGCCGTGAAAACCGGACTCCCACTCGAGGGCATTCGGGTGCTGGACATGACCCGGGTTTTGGCCGGTGTAAGTCGAACTTTTGCATGAACATGGTTGACAAGTGCTGACCTTTATAGCCTTATTGTACTCAGATTCTGGGTGATCTTGGGTAAGTTTACTCATGTCATCAATGACCTTGGCCCTTTTAACATGGCCGAATGCGCAGCGCTGAGGTGATCAAGATCGAGCATCCTGTTCGCGGCGATGATACCAGAGCTTGGGGACCTCCATATGCAAAATACAAGGACGGGTCGTCTGCCAAAGGCCCTGGAGAGTCTGCCTACTTCTTGGGGGTAAGTTTGTACCTCCTCTGCACTGAACCTGTCTCACAATGTCCTACAGGCAAATCGGAACAAAAAGTCGTTGGGCTTGTCCTTCCAGCACAAAGAAGGAGTCGAGGTTCTTCATAAACTTGCTGCAAAATGCGACGTCTTGGTGGAGAACTACCTCCCGGGAACTCTAAAGAAGTATTCCATGGACTATGAGACCTTGCGCAAGATTAACCCAGGTCTGATATATGCCTCTATTACGGGCTACGGCCAAACAGGGCCGTATTCCAACCGCGCTGGCTACGACGTCATGGTTGAAGCTGAATTTGGTCTGATGCATATTACTGGAGAGCGAGATGGTCCTCCAGTCAAGGTTGGTGTCGCGGTAACTGACCTGACGACTGGTCTCTACACCAGCAACAGTGTCATGGCGGCGCTTTTAGGACGGGCCAAGTCAGGAAAAGGTCAACATATCGATGTCGCACTGAGTGACTGCCAGACAGCAACATTAGCCAACATCGCCAGCAGCTGTTTGGTCAGTGGAGAGAAGGATTCTGGCCGCTGGGGCACAGCTCATCGTAAGTTTGAGTGTCTGAATAAGAATTCCAATGCTAACTCAGAAGCTTCAATTGTTCCTTACAAGTCTTTCGAGACCAAAGATGGCGGTATTCTGTTTGGTGGAGGCAATGATCGGCTATTCGGTGTTCTCTGCGATGGTTTAGGTCAACCACAGTGGAAGGACGACACTCGATACAAAACCAACGCTGATAGAGTCGAACATCGAAACGACCTAGAGGCCAAGATTGAGGCAATTACAAAACTTAAAACAACCCAAGAATGGCTCGAGGTCTTCGAGGGCAAGGGTATGCCCTATGCTGCCATCAATGATGTCCAGGGAACGCTCAACCACGAGCATACAAAGGCCCGGAACATGGTTGTCGAGATGGAACACGATGAGTGCGGCCCTCTAAAAATGGTCAACACGCCTATAAAATTATCGGAGACTCCTCCAACGATTCGCAGCGCGCCACCTATGTTGGGTCAGCATACTAATGAAGTGCTACAAGAGCATCTTGGGTTTAAGGAAGCTGATATTAATGCATTGAGGGAAAAGGGAATTGTCGGATAGAACACGCATAGAATAGAACATGAAGCGCGAAAAGATTTTATGAGGACCTCGACTTCTAGGTACATAGGACTCCTGCTGTTTTAGTGGTTGTGAACAACGGCAGGAACTAACGTTAAACTGAACACCCGGGGTGGTTCCTCCGTTGTACGATCAGAGTACTCCACGTGACCACACGTGTCGCTGATTGAACTGAACATCTCACTTTGCCATGTAAATCCATTGTTTCCAATCTCAACAATATATGACCGTGCAGTCCCCTTCTCAAATAATACTTAGTCCGCGTACCGATCAGCCCTGGGACAGACCCTTCCTCTCATTTTGCAGTTTTTCTTACAGTTTTGAACGTCGAATATCTCGCGACAGTTACGGACTTTGACAGCAGCCTACAAATGATCACTAACAAACCATCTTACGAGGACGAGAACATATATCATGGACCAAGCCACAGAGGAATTACGCGTCGAGCCCCCGAAAGCCATTGAACTGGATGCCATGATGGACGATGTGTCTGCCAAAGATGACATTTCAATTACACCGGCACCCAAATCCTCATACACACCCCAGTTCCCATCAGAGAGCTCAGTCATCTTGGGCCGTCTCAAGAATGATTCCCAAACAGAGGGCAACGGGAATGTCAGAGAGAAACATTCCGCAGACTTGAAAGACACTTTGACTATGCCGGCACCTACTAAAGCCAGAGGTCAATCCTCACTATCATACTCTCTCAATGCAGGCGTGAAGCGAAAACGAGAAGAGCTGTCGGAAAAGATTGATCTGACTCAAAGCACTGTCCCCTTCCCGTGGAAAGTCCGCTCTCAAACTCAACAAGCTACTATCGAGGCTCAGCATACCGGAGAGGAAACCAGATGTTCAATGTGTGACGGCTCTGCTCAAGTTTCCCCCTTAGTCACATGCACTAGATGTCTTGTATCTTGGCACCAAAAATGCCATCCTCCTTTGGTTAGGGGCGAGGACATGACTTCTGCAAGCTTCACTTGTGCCAAGTGCGTTGCGGCCAGAGAACAGACCGTCAGACTCAGGGGCAGAGTTAGTCAGCAACGGGAACACGAAATCGAGCGGCTTCGACAGAAACGCCTGTCTGCTCTCCCCAAGGGTGTTATCCCTGCAAAACCTCACCTCGTGGGGTTTGGTCCTGGTCGGGCTTCGGAGGCTTCAGTAAGTTCCACGACACTTGAGAAGATACCATGGCTCACATGACGATAGCGAGCACAATACTTTGAATCCGTGCCGAAGACAGACCTTCTTAATATTCTATCATTGTGCGATCAACTGAGACCAAACCTCCTTGTTGACTTGCTCGTATCTATCTCAAAACGGCATCCTGAAATGCCCATATTCGATTCACCTGACTGGGATAGTCAATTGTCAAACACTTCTCGGCCTCCTAAAACAAAGCATGACGAGAAGCCGCGACATGGACATGTTCTTGTCAACAGAGCAGCAAAACCGAAGCAAAAGACTACGAAAAAGATACTCAAACGCACTCGGGTCATAGAAGTCATCACAAGTGCGCCAGAGGAAGATAATGTCGATATTCTGCCGCCAACTTGGGCGAAGGCTGGCCATGGATTATACTCACATTTACTGCCTGATACAGAAGACAGGTCGCTTCTCATGGATGAGAACGATGAAGAATCATTCAGTCACTTTTTGGTCGATGGGGCTGGGCGTCAGATCATGGAACCTGTGGGTGCTTAATGGAGCAAAGAACAGGCATTTGTGCATTTTTGGTGGTCCTTTGCAGCTAAATGCAGCTAATTCGGGAAAAGATTCGGAGTCAGTCTAGGCATAGGAGTTGTTGAAGGGAAATCTCAGCTTCAGGCCAATCAGCCACTATGGAAGCTCGTTCGTTAATAATCATCACCAAACAATAACTCGAGACAGAGAAACACATTCTTCGATTCCGGGCTTTAGCGTTTTCATATGAATTATTTGATTTGTGATAAGAAACAGAAGACATCGACAGACGAGTGGGATTATCCGGTAATCCCCATCAAAGAAACACATTTCAGTTCCAAGTCATCCTCCATCCATTACATATTAGACCGTGAGTACCCAACTATTCGTCCATAATCATTTTTAACCGCTTAGCAGTTGCATCCGAAAATGCCCTTGAGGCTGACGTGGATGCTAGCGACGATGCGGATGAGGCCCTGGATCTTGACAGAAGCACAAGCTCCGACCTTGTTGACAAAGAGAACGGTGTCCTTGACAATGCAGAAACCAACGAGTCCGTTGACATAGCCACCGATGCTGCCACGGACATCGACGTAGTTCTTGCAGCCCTTGGAGCAGTAAGAAACGCAGTCATAGACCTGGCAGTTACCGAGACCGAGGAAGCAGGTAATGCTCTTGACGAAGTCGACAACAGCGTAGACGAGACCACCAGTGACGCTGCCGGGGCGAACGGCATATCCGTACTTGTTGGTGTTGAAGAGGGCGACGGCATCAGCGCTGCTCTCAAGGTAGAGACCAGCAAGACCACCACAGACGGTCTTGAGGCTGGCGCTCAGCTGGCCCTTGACATTGATGGCGGCACCGCCATAGAGAGCAACCTCGGCGCCGATAGAAAGAGGAGCAAGGAAGACAGTGTTCTTGAGGCTGGCCTGGCAGTAGGCGTGCTTGGTATCGTACTTGACGATCTTGTAGGGAGAAGCAGCACAGTAAGTGCCGAGCTTGACGTCAACGCCGGCGCCGGCGTAGACACTGGCACTGGGCTTGGGCCAGCAGCCGGAAGCCTTCTTGCCAGCGCACTTCTTGGCCTTGCCATCCCAGGACTGGCCGGGAGGGCATGAGCAGGCCTTGGTCCAGGGGCAGTAGGACATGGCACCCGGGCAGGAGAAGGTGGTGCGAGCCTCAAGGTTGTTGGAATCGGAGCGGATGGTGAAGTCGCTAGGGGAGATGTTGGAGGTGGTATCAAGGAGGGCATCTGGAGCAGGGATGGCGGAAGCCATAGAGGCCATCGAGGCCAGAGTGACGAGGAAGTTGGAGAAGTACATTTTGATGATATAGTAGGGGATTTGGTAGTAAGATAGAGAGAGTGTGGTTATTTGTTTGAAATGTTTGGAAGAAGTGAAAGAATGTTAAATATGCCTTTGAGGCCTTGTTGAAGCGAATGTAAGTTGAAGAAGTTGATAGAAGAGAGAGATGCTGATGAGAAAGAGTTGATTGTACGGGATATCGAGAGTGTTTATATAGCCATCATGAGTTGTCTCTGTGAAGCCGAGGATATTTTTACCACATGGTCACTGCGAAGTCTTCAGAGACGGCTCGGCTCAGTCCTCAGTGTTACATTACAGACTCCGTATCTCCCTGCTAGTCAGGCGATGCCGGTGATAGTGTCGAGAGGTCCAAGCATAAGCTGAGTCTGGATGTTTTTTCGGCCAAGGTCAAGCTGATAGATGGAGGTGCTTGCGAGGTGCTAACCAGGAGTAGGCTGGTGTGAGTTCACGGACTGGGTTTGGTTGGCTTGATATTCGCTGTGCATGGTGTTGATGAGTTATGCAGACGCCTGGACACGGGCAGTTGGTCGAGTCCGAATTGTTCTCGAGACGAGGTGGCCATTGTAGGGTTTGGGTGGTATTGTGTTGAGAAGAAGTTCTATCGTCTTTGCTCAATATAACTTCTATTCGTCGTTGGAACTCATTAATAGTATTCGCGATAAGCAACATATTACAGCATTATAGCAACAGCTATGTTTCAACCTTCATCCTTCACTCGATAAGCATAACTTGGTCCTCCATTGATTATCCCCCCGTTGACAACGATCAAGACCGTTCGATGTTCTGCCCACAAAGTAAACTCCGATCGGAAGTCGGCTTATTAAATTAGATTCCACCAAAAAGGAGGTTTACCTGCTAGTAAAAGGTTTCATTTCTCGGGCCGCACTGGTCCATCCAGGAAATCAGCTCACCACTTACCCCAAAGAGGCAAAGCCATCACGACGAGGCGTTTCTTTAATTAAACCAACATCATGTTTCAGGCCTGAGAAAGCTGCACTGCACAACTCAGCTGATTTTTTTGTCCCGAAGAGAGATATCAAGGAGTGTCCTTGGAGAAAACTGCAAGAGTGAGTTATTTATGTGTCTCTATTTTTAAAGATGTGTGGGGATATGGTTTATATGATACAATCATATCGGAGGTTAATGG